CTCTGTCTCTGTCCGTCCCTCTGTCTCTGTCCGTCCCTCTGTCTCTGTCCGTCCCTCTGTCTCTGTCTGTCTGGGTCAGGGCGGCTTCCGATTGCGCAGCATGAAGGCCAAAAACCCTCCCCGTCCTGGAACATGGCCTATCCTTGTACCCTCGCCTGCAATTGTTAGGTCTCTCACTCTCCCCACACCCCCCTCTTCCTCCCTCTCCTTCAAGTTCTTACTCTCCATCCCTCCTCCTCTTCCACCCCCTCCCGCCACCTTCACTCCCCCCTCCCCGGATGTTGTAATGAGCGGTGCTCCCCCTCACTCTCTCCTGCAGGTCCTCTTTCACTCCATGGTGCGGGATTCGCACGGCCGCAAGATGAGCAAGTCGCTGGGCAACGTTATCGACCCGCTGGACGTGATCGGGGGTGTGTCGCCGCAGGTACTGGGCATGTGCCAACCCTCCGCATCTCTCCCTTCTCCTCTCCCCCCTTCCCTGCTCCCCCCTCCCCCCCCCCCCCCTGCAGGGACCGGGCGTGTGCCAACCCTCTGCATCGCTCCCTTCTCCCCTTCCCCCACTTCGACCCCCCGTCCCTGCAGGGACTGGGTGTGTAGCCAACCCTCCGCGTCGCTCCCTTCTCCCCTTCCTCCCCCTCCCTCCCCCTCCCTCCCCCTCCCTGCAGGGACTGGGCATGTGCCAACCCTCCGCATTGCTCCCTTCTCTCTTCCCCCCACCACTGCCTGGAGGTCGTGCGTCGGTGGGACACCCTGACGGCCGATCCCTCTGACGGGCTCCCGTTCGTGTTTCAGCGTCTCCACGAGAAGCTGCAGGAGGGGAACCTCGATCCTCGGGAATACCGCGTCGCCCAGGAGGGGCAGGTGAGTGCCCACGATCTCCGTTTGATGATTACCCTGTCGTCCCTGACCCGGTGCCCTGTTTCCTTAACCCACACCAATCGACTCTCTCCTCATTGGGAATCCCTAGCCGTGGCGATCCAGTTAGTTCAACCAGGAGCAGCGTTTTCCGTTCTGAGGAAAAGTTCTGGAAGACCCGCAAGGTTAATTCTGCTGCCAGACCTGCTGAGATTCTCTAGCACCTTCTGCTTTTGTGGCTGATTTACAGCATCTGCACTCCTTTCGGTTTCTATTCAGTGCTTTCCATGCTTGCGGCCTGAGAGTTGGAGTGGTAGAAATGGGATTAAACCCCGTGGTCTCCAGACCAAAGCTGAGGGGCGGCACGGTGGCTCAGTGGTTACCACTGCTGCCTCACAGTGCCAGGGATCCGGGTTCGATTCCACCCTCGGGCGACTGTCTGTGTGGAGTTTGCACATTCTCCCCGTGTCTGCGTGGGTTTCCTCCCACAGTCCAAAGATGTGCAGGTTAGGGTGGATTGGCCATGCTAAGTTGCCCCGTAGTGATCAGTGATGTGCAAGCTAGGTGGGTTCGCCATGGGAAATGCTGGGTTACAGAGGTAAGGTTGGGGTGGTGGGGGCGGGGTTCGGGGATGGGTCGAGGTGCCGTGCACTTCGGAGGGTCAGTTTGGACTTGATGGGCCGAATGGCCTGCTTCCGCTCTCTGTCGGGATCCTACGAGGTACTGTTTTAATGACAGCGATTTCAAAATAGCAGCTAACGTGCCGGAGAGGGTGGGGTTCAATATGCAACAGGGACTGACTGAGGTTTTGTTTTATTCATCAACGGGATGAGGCTGTCGCTGGCTAGGGCAGCATTTGTTGCCCAGAGGGCAGTTCAGAGTCAACCACATTTGCTGTGGGTCTGGAGTCACACGTAGGCCAGACCAGGTAAGGATGGCAGCTTCCTTCCCCAAAGGACATTGGTGAACCAGATGGGTTTTTCCGACAATCGACACTGGACTCATGGTCATCATTAGATTCTTATTTCCAGATATTTATTGAATTCAAATTGCACCATCTGCCGTGGCGGGATTCGAACCCGGGTCCCCACAACATTATCTGGGTCCCTGGATTAACAGTCCAGCGATGATACCACTAGGCCATCGCCTCCCCGTGTGTGTGCTCCTTAGAACCAGTGTTCCCTGCCTGTATATATATATATATATGTGTACAACTTTTTAAAAAGATAAGGGTCTTAGATTTTAAAACAAAAACAGAGATTGATGGAACAAACTCTGCACCCTGGCAACAACTGTGGAGAGAAAGCAGAGTCTGCAGAAGGGTCGCTGGACCCGAAATGTGAACTTTGTCTCTCTGTCTCTCTCTCTCTCTCTCTTTCTCTCTCCAACAGACGCTGCCAAGACCTGCTGAGATTCTCCAGCAACTTCTGTTTTTGTTTCTGATTTCCAGCATCCGCGCTTCTTCGGGGTTAAATACCAAATTGGGTCTTCCGAAATCCAGGTTGCCCTTCTTATTTTTGGGTCCAAAAGTTGACGAAAATAATTAGTCTGAAATTTTCCTTTCCGATATTAGCAATGGTTTGACAATTTTGCCAAAAGGAATAAAGTGAGCGTGTCCCTTGGAAGTGTAAGCGATTTAAAAAGTTGGAAGAAGTAGAGGGGGAGGAATATGATGACGACGACGACGACGACAACAACAACAACTGATTTACTTAGCACCCTCCGCACAGCTGGGTCGGTCCCTTGGCAGGTGGCGCCTGGCTGTGAAGCTCACCTCCCAGTGCCCTGTGCCCGCAGGAGCTCGGCAGGACCCAGCTCAAGGCTGTTGCTGGGCAGATTTGACCAGTGATGGGTCAAGTTCACCCAGCCCAGTGGTTGGGTCCGGGATGGACAGGCGGATGGGATGGGATGGGTAGATAGATGGGGATAGAGAATGGAACCGGGGATGGGCAGGACAAGGATCAGACCATTTTTAGGAGTGAGACGAGGATGGAACTTGTCGGCACCCCCACCCCCTCCCAGGGAGGGCTGTGGTGGCTCAGTCATCGAGTACGTTCTAGGCAGAGGTGGGTAGATTTCTCCGTGTCGAACGTGGCAGGGGATGGAGCACAAAAGTTGGGGCTGAGGTACGAAATGAAACTTGATTGGCTTGAACAGCATAGGAGGGTGGCGGGTCCAAATTTCTATCCCATTTCTACGTCCCTGTCGCAGTCCAGCACCTATTTAAACAACGCTGAATGTACACAGCGCAGGGTCAGACCATTCAGTTCATCTGGTCGATTCTAATGCGTCTCCTTCACGTTGTCCTCCCAATGTCACCTTGCGTTCCTCCCTCCCGAGTATCACACCTCCCCTCTGGTCCATCAGTCCCATCCCAGTTCTCGCCCTCTCCCTGTGCTGACGAGTTCCCAGTTTATCTTGTTTTGACGACGTCCACATTTCAGGTGTAGCTGTCCTGAAGCCTGTTGGTCCTCCTGATCAGAGAAGTGCGACACTTTTTTGTTTGAATCCTAAATTCGGTTCGGTAGCTGAGCCAGAACAAAATTCTCTGAGCGCCGAAGGAGGAATTAAAGCAGGAAGCTGAACACCGCAAGACAAACTGCAAATTGTTGATCGCTGTCTGCCTGAAAATGTCTCTTTGCCTAACCCTGAATAGCGTTGCAGCTCGCTCCTATCGGAAATCGCCTCCCAGCAGTTCATGGGAATGTTGACTTTTGGGGATAATTAATGACAGGCTGTGATTGCTGGAGTTCCTCCTGGCAGTAGGGAGTGCCAGGTTTTACAGTAATTAGTGTTATTGCCGGTTCTGATCCAGTTAAACCTCTGCAATTTGTTGTGGTTAACATTCCTTGTGGTTTTTCTTAGAGAAGGCTGTAACATAGAAGATAGGAGCAGGAGGAGGCCATTCGGCCCTTCGAGCCTCCTCCACTATTTATCACAGTCGTGGCTGATTGTCCAACTCAATAGCTTAATCCTGCTTTCTCCCCATAACCTTCAATCCCATTCGCCCCAAGTGCTATATCTCATTGCCTCTTGAATACATTGTGTTTTGGCATCAACTGCTTCCTGTGGCAATGAATTTCACAGGCTCATCACTCTTTGGGTGAAGAAATGTCTCCTCATCTCTGTCCTAAATGGTCTACCCTGAATCCTCATACAGTCCAGTTTGATTTGTCCAATTTGAAACATATCTATGTTGCATTCTCCTTTGCAAATGCAGAGCTGCTATTTTTACAATGTGTGGCCGTTTTATAGAGCTGGGGTTTCCGCTAATTTGGCAACGCATCCTTAATTTTGGTTTGATTTATTATTGTCACAAGTACCTAGGTACGGTGAAAAGTTTTGTTTTGCGTGCAGTACAGGCAGGCCGTACCATGTAGAGTGAATCAGGATAATAGAACAGAGCGAGGAATGTAATGTTACGGCTGCAGAGAAGGTGCACAATGAGCGAGATTAACACTAAATTTGAAATTTGAGAGGCCCGTTCAGAAATCTAATAACAGCGGGGAAGAAGCTGTTCTTGAACCTGTTGGGATGCGTGTTTAAGCTTTTGTATCTTCTGCCCAACGGAAGAGGTTGGAAGAGATTGTAACAGGGGTAGAAGGGGTCTTTGATGATGTTGGCTGCCATTCTGAGACAACAAGAAGTGTACGTAGAATCAGTGGCTGGAAGGTTGCTTTGCATGATGGTCTGGGCTGTGTTCACAACTCTCTGTACTCTCGCTAATATGAGTGGCAGAAAAAAAGCCTTTCAGCCTGACCTGTTCACGCCTGCATTAATAATTTACCAGATCCTCCTATTCTTGCTCATTTAGTTCAAGAAGTGGTTTATAAGCTTCTCTGTTGTTCCACGTTCTCACTTTTTTGTAGGTTCCCCTGTGCACATTTATTATTCTCTTCAACCAAACCCCTTGACTGTTAGTATCGCATTCTCTGGGAAAAGAGGTTTCAGCTTAGTTCTCAGTTTGGTTAGGTAAAAACCGAAAGAACTGCGGACGCTGTAAATCAGGAACAGAAACAGAAGTTGCTGTTCCAGCTTAGCAGGTCTGGAAGCATCTGCGAAGAAAAAAAAAATCAGAGTTAACATTTCGGGTCCGATGACCCTTCCTCAGTTCTGAGGAAACGTTAACTCTGATTTTTTTTTTATTCACAGATGCTGCCAGACCTGCTGAGCTTTTCCAGCAACTTCTGTTTTTGTTCCCAATCTGGGTTCTGAGTTACTCCCATAACTCGCTGATCTCTGGTTGTAGCCTTTCTCTTAAGATCTCTCCATATCTCCTCTGTCAAAATAAGGGCTCAGTTTCTCTCCTGTATGCTTGTGGCCACGTTACTGTGTTAAAGCCGCCTTATTGGGGGAAAGGTGATGGTTCAGTGGTAAAGTCACTCAACTAGTAATACAGAAGATTGGTTGAGAAGGCATTTAGCGCACTTGCTTTCATTGCCCAGACCATTGAGTATAGGAGTTGGGACGTCATGTTGAAGTTGTATAGGACATTGATGAGGCCTCTTCTGGAATACTGTGTCCAGTTCTGGTCACACTATTACAGGAAGGATATTCTTTAGCTGGAGAGGGTTCAGAACCAATTTACCAGGATGTTGCTGGGAATGGAGGATTTGAATTGCAAAGAAAGGCTGGATAAGCTGGGACTATTTTCACTGGAGCATAGGAAGTTTTGAGAGGTGACCTTATAGAGATTTATAAAATAATGAAGGATATACAATCCATGCTGAACATAATCCCAAACTAAACCAGTCCCACCTATATGCTTCTGGCCCATATCCCTCCAAACCTTTCCTACTTATCCAAATGTCTTTTAAACGTTGTAACTGTACCCACATCCACCACTTCCTCTGGAAGTTCATTTCTCACATGAACCATTTTCTGTGTTTAAAAAAAAAAAACTTGCCCCTCATGTCTTTTTTTTTTAAATCTTGCTCTTTTCCCCTTGCCCCCCCCCCCCACCCCTGCATCGTGAAAATCTGTCCAGGCTAACTAGTGCCCCTTCCCGGTCTGGCCTGCTCCTGTCTCCAGACCCGTGGCGATGTGGATGCCTCTCGGCTGCCCTCTGAAATTGCCCCCAGATCACTGCCCAGTCCCAGGGCCAATTGATACCAGCCTCCTCAGTGAGGACCAGGCGGCAGAATGAGTGGCCACATGAAAGACGAGGCGAAACAACGTGCGGGAGCCAAAGAAAGAGAATTGTCCGCTAGCTCGGGGCAATCCAGGGGCCGGCCAGTGAGGGGTAACACTGAAAGGAGCCATTCAGCCCTTCGAGTCTGCTCCACTGTTCAACACGCTCATGGCCAATCCTCTATCTCAATCCCATCTCCCCACCCCCATACCTGTTGATGTCTTTAAAACCTGAAAGTGTATGTATCCCACCCCCTCCTTTTCTTGAATGGACTCAATGACTTGGCCTGTTGTGGTCGGGAATAGCACAGATTCGCTGCTCTCTGGGTGAAGACATGCTTCCCTGTCCTCGGTTCGGAATGGTTTACCCATATTCCTGAGGGTGTCTCCCCAACATTCAGCATTCCCCAACTTGGAGAGGGGGGTGGGGGTGTGGTTGGAAATGGATGGATGATGCTGATGCCTTCACTCTGAGCAAGTTGAGGATAAAGGCAAGAAGAAATTTCTTCAACAGAAACAGAAGTTGCTGGAGAAAGTCTGCCGGCCTGGCAGCGTCTGTGCGGAGAGAAGGCAGAGTCGAAAGTTGTCAGGAGGGGTTGGGAAGAATAGAAAGCATGATTTCTGCTCCCCACGCCGACCGCCACCACCACCCGCCCTCACTCCCTCACACCTGCAAAATGCCAATGAAGTCGCCCAGCGTGTTAAAGGCGCTACATGAATGCAAACACTCGTGGCTGTCTTTCCAGCTCCCCCTTGTGGAGTTTTGTTACAGGGTGTTGTTGGGTGGGGTGTGCAGTAAAGGCAAGAGACCCAGACCTGATCTTCCTCCCCACCTTTTGTTTCTCTCTGTCGCCACAGAAACGGGATTTTCCACATGGGATCCCAGAGTGCGGGACAGACGCTCTCCGATTCGCCCTGTCTTCCTACAAGTGTCAGGGTAAGCAGGAACACGGAGCTGCCTTCTTACTCATTCGCCAGTGAATCTCTCTCTCTCTGTATCCCTCCTTCCACATCTCTCTCATTCATACTTGCTGTCACTCTCTCCCCATTTAGTGCTCATTTTTATTGTTGTTCCCCTTATCTCTCACTGTTTTGTCTTCCCTTGTCCCCATTTCCACTTTCCCTCTCACTCTTGTTGCCTCTCCCCCTCATCTGCGCCCAGGCTCATACTCTCGCTCACTCTGTCCTTGACTCTTTCACACTCTCTCTCCCTCTCTCGCATCCCCCCCGTCTCTCGCCCCCTCACTCACTCTGTCTCTCTCTCCCTGTGTTTGCTCCTGCTGCCTGGATACTAGGAGACGATGTCAATGTGGATGTTGTGACCTTTGTGAGCTCGCGCCGCTTTTGCAACAAGATCTGGAATGCCATGAAGTTTACGTTTGCCGCCCTGCCCACGGGTTTCCAGCCGCTGCCATTGCCCACGGTGAGTGGGGCACAATGTGGGGCTGTTTTGGGTTGGGTTCCGTTGCAAAAGGGGATGCTGGAGGTGGGGAAGATATCTGTCACCTTGGGTGGGAGCATGGACATACAGCTGGCTTCTGCTAGAATGTGTGTTTCGTTGATGAATAGTTGGACGCTGCTTGGAAAACGCAAACTTTTTGCTGTCCAGGTATAGCGATGCTTTTCTACAGCGTTTTCCCTAAAGTGCGATTTTCTATAACGCGAGTAAGAACACAACTATCGTGTTATAGGAGAACTACCTGTCGTGTCCTTAGCTTTGGAAAGGGTGCCTCAAGTATTGGGAAAGGGATTGGTGCTGGGGTGAGGGGGAGGGGGTGGAAGGTACCCCAGGGGTTATTCCATACACACACCACCTTCTGAGCGAAAATGTTGCCCCTCAGGTCCCTTTTAAATCCTTCCCCCTCATCTTAAACCTATGCCCTCTAGTTTTTGACTCCCCCACCCTGGGGGAAAAGACCTTGTCTATTCACCCTATCTATGTCCCTCATGATTTTATAAACCTCTATAAGGTCACCTGTCACCCTCTGGCACTCCAGGGAAAATAGCCCCAGCCTATTCAGCCTCTCCCTGTAGCTCAAACCCTCCAACTCTGGCAACATCCTTGTAAATCTTTTCTGAACCTTTTCAAGTTTCACAACATCCTTCTTATAGCAGGGAGACCAGAATTGAACTCAATATTCCAAAACTGGTCTAACCAATGTCCTGTATAGCTGCAACATGACCCTCCCAACTCCTATACTCAATGCACTGACCAGTAAATGCAAGCGTACCAAACGCCTTCTCCATTATCCTGTCTACCTGCAACTCCTCTTTTAGAGAACTGTGAACCTGCACTCCAAGGTCTGTTTGTTCAACAACACTCCCCAGGACCTTACCATTAAGTGTATGAGTCCTGTCCTGATTTGCATTTCCAAAATGCAGTACCTCACATTTATCTAAATTAAACTCCATCTGCCTCTCCTCGGCCCATTGGCCCATCTGATCAAGGTCCCACTGTACTCTGAGGTAACATTCTTCACTGTCCATTATGCCTCCAATTTTAGTGTCATCTGCAAACCTACTAACCCATCCCTCCTATATTCACATCCAAATCATTTATATAAATGACAAAAAGCAGTGGATCCAGCACCGATCCTTGTGGCACACCACTGGTCACAGGTCTCCAGTCTGAAAAGCAACCCTCTATCACCACGAGGAAATGGTAAGAACTGCTGATGCTGGAGTCTGAGATAACACAGTGTGGAGCTGGAGGAACACAGCAGGCCAGGCAGCATCAGAGGAGCAGGAAAGCTGACGTTTCAGATTGGCACACTTCTTCAGAAATGGGGGAGGGGGAAGGGAGCTGGGAAATAGACAGAGAGGAGGGGTGGGGCTGGGGAAGGTAGGTGGGATGGTGATAGGTGATAGGAGATAGGAGAGAGGTCTACTGTATCCGCTGCTCCAATGTGGCCTCCTCTCCATCGGTGAGACCAAGCAGAGGCTCAGAGACCGCTTTGTAGAGCATCTGCGCTCTGTTCGTGACAAATGAAACACTTCCCGGTCGCGAACCACTTCAACTCCCCCTCCGACTCCCTGGGTGACATGTCCATCCTGGGCCTCCTCCAGTGTCACAATGATGCCACCCGGAAACTAGAGGAGCAGCACCTCATATTCCATCTTGGGACCCTACAGCCCAATGGCCTAAATGTGGATTTTACCAGTTTCAAAATCTCCCCACCCCCAACCTCATCCCAAGACAAAACCTCCCTCTCATCGCCGCCTCCTTGACCTGACACAACCTGTCCATCTTCTCTCCCACCTATCCACCCCTCCCACCTCCCTGACCCATCCCCACCACTCCCTACCTGCAGTCACCTATCACCATCCCACCTACCTTCCCCAGCCCCACCCCTCCCCTCTCTATTTATTTATGAGCTCCCTTCCCCTCCCCCGTTTCTGAAGAAGGGTACCGACCCGAAACGTCGACTTTCCTGCTCCTCTGGTGCTGCCTGGCCTGCTGTGTTCCTCCACCACCACCCTCTGTCTTCCACCTTCGAACCAGTTCTGTATCCAAATGGCTCGTTCTCCCCATATTCCGTGTGATCTAACCTTGCTAACCAGCCCACCATATGGGACCTTGTCGAACACCTTACTGAAGTCCATATAGAGCATGTCCATCACTCTTCCCTCAACAATCCTCCTTGTTACTTCTTCAAGCAACTCAATCAAGTTAGTGAGACACGATTTCCCCCACACAAAGCCACGCTGACTATCCCTGTTTAGTCCTTGCCTTTCCAAATACGTATAAATCCTGTCCTTAGGATTTCCTCCAACAAATTGCCTACGACCAATGTCAGGCTCACTGGTGTGAATCCTATGGGAGACACAGCCTGTGTATGTATGAAGCACTGCCATTTTATATCAGGCTGGTTAACAAGGCATTTAGCACACTTGCCTTCATTGCTCAGAACATTGAGTATAGGAGTTGGGATGTCATATTGAGGTTGTACAGGACATTGGTGAGGCCTCTTCTGGAATACTGTGTGCAGTTCTGGTCGCCCAGTTATAGGAAGGATATTATTAAGTTGTAGGGGGCTCAGAAAAGATTGACCAGGATGTTATCAAGACTGGAGGGTTTGAGTTATAAGGATAGGCTGGGAGCTTTTGGAGTGCAGCGTAGGAGGCTGAGGGGTGACCTTATAGAGGTTTATAAAATCATGAGGGGCATAGAATCTCTACAGTGTGGAAACAGGCCCTTCGGCCCAACAAGTCCACACTGACCCTCAAAGCCTCCCACCCAGACCCATCCACCTAGCCTGCACATCTTTGGACTGCGGGAGGAAACTGGAGCACCCGGAGGAAACCCACGCAGACACGGGGAGAATGTGCAAACTCCACACAGACGGTCGCCTGAGGGTGGAATCGAACTTGGGTCCCTGGCGCTGTGAGGCAGCAATGCTAACCACTGAGCCACCATGGATAGGGTGGATAGCCCAGGGTCTTTTCCCCAGGGTAGGGGTGTCCAAAACTAGAGGGCACAGGTTTTAAGGTGAGAGGGGAAAGATTTAAAAAGGAACCTAACTTATTGCACACAGAGGGTGGTTTGTTTGCGGAACAAGCTGCCAGAGGAAGTGGTAGATGCAGGTACAGTTACAATG